ATAAATAAATAAATAAATAAATAAATAAATAAATAAGAAAGATATCATCACCGTGGGGAGGTGGGCGATGATAACTTCCTCAATGGCTCAAGGGGGCGTTTCTTTCAAAAAGGTTAAGAACCACTGAGTTATAGCACAAAAGACAGAAGTTCAAAAAGTTACTTTTGGGGGTTGGGGGGGGCAATACAGCTCCTAGAGCCAGACTTTCCCAGACAGTGTACCTCTCTCTTTCTCTCCTTCTTTCCGCCATCAGCTGGCTCTTTTAATTCTCCTACTCCCAGCAAATAAAGAACTTTCCCAAGCTCTGATGATGGAGAATCACTCCTCTGTCGAGGTCCATATTTCCTTGGGGCAGTCTTCCACACGCCTGTGGTGGAAAGGGAATGGCCAAAGCCAGATCCCAATGCGTGTGGGATCCGTTCCCCCCTCTCTCTCCTTCCCCCTCCACTGCTTTCTTGTCCCTTTTTCCCCAGCCAGAACCAAAAGGGGGCAAGGCTTCTTTGTCTCTCTCTCTGTCTGTCTGTCACTTGCTTTTCTCTTCCTCCTCCTCCAGCAGGGTCTCAGAGGGAGATGAGATCCCTCCTGCCAGGTTACTCGCCCCCAGCTATTTATAGAAAGCAGATTCGGGCTGTAGATGTTAATGTAGGCTACAGATGTTCAGATGATATGCAGACTCTAGATGTTGAAACATCAGTGTTCATGGGGTAGAACAGTGGTCCCCAACCTTTTGGACTACAACTCCCAGAAGCCTTCACCACCACCTCTGCTGGCCAGGATTTCTGGGAGCTGAACTCCAAGAACATCTGGAGGCCCAAGGTTGGGGACCATTGGGGTAGAAAACCTCTACTTTCTTTTCCAATCTGTGGGGAGTGAGCTTATGAAGGTAAGGGTTAAATATAAAGGGCTCGAACTGCATCTGGTCATGCCCATCCCGGGGTCCTGCTGTTTTCACACAGGGCAGCAGAGTGGGGCGATGTGGAAGTAGGGCTTGCTTGCCAGCCGCGCGGAACAACTGCCTGCTCTTTTTTCCTCTTTCATCCCTATTCGTTTTTTCTTCCTGTGTCTTTTGGATCATGAGGCTGTTTGCGAACAAAGGCTGACTTTTATTTATTGTTTAGGAGACCTCACAGGTACCCTTTGGGCCAAGGAGCAGAGAAAAATGCAGGCCGTGAACTAAACAGTCAACCAATCTCATGGCTCCTGGCTTGCAAACCCTCCTTGCCCCAAACACTGAAATCCATGTTTTGATGATTGCATTTAAGAGTTAAGGGTGATGTATCAAAACTACCTGTGTTCCTCTCCTTCACACCTTGATCCTCCCATGCAAAATCCACAGTTCTCTGCATGAACATGCAAATGGAGATCTGAAAGAAGTATGAATAGGCCATGTGTTGCTCGTAGGTCTCTTGTGTCCATCCACAAGCCTTCAAAAATACTTCTTGCGAATTGTAGATAAACCTGCATCTTTTTTTTTCAAATATATTTTTACTTGGAATTTTAGGGACATAAACCATTTACTAGCCTATTACAATATCCTCCATTCCTTGATCGGAATGTGTACCTAAGAGGAACTGCCTGCTTTATCCCTTCCACCAGCATGATCTGAAAGAACAAGAAAAACATTAAAAATAAAAAGACCTGCCTTATAAAAGTCCACCCTGAAGTGGTTTTTGTTTTCTTAGTACAGCTGTTTCAAACAAGCTACACCTTCTAGTGATACTATCCAGAATCTTATCTGTTTGGGTTATGGCATTTTCTTACTGAACACATAATGTCATAACTTCCAGCGTTTGGCAGGCTTTTAAACAAATATTGTTCCTAGAGATCCTGCTGGTTTCAGTGTTTCATTCCTTTTAATGCTCTTGTTTGTCATTAATGGAATTCAAGCACATCAGGCTGATCAAGAGGAAGGAAAGCAGGAAAGGAAGACGTTGAATGGATAAACAACGTATCTGAGCTTCATCGTCTCAGCAACAGCATTTCTTTGCAAGACCCAAAGAGAGAAGAGAGAACCATTCCTCATGAAACCCTGAACTAGGGCCAGCCTAAGCCATTTTGCTGCCCGAGTCAGAGTAGCAGATCTTTTCCCCCCCGTGTTAAGGTGTAGAGAACTGAAAATCAATTGCATTCTTTTAACACAGGAGGAAGATAGATAGATAGATAGATAGATAGAGAGAGAGAGAGAGAGAGAGAGAGAGAGAGAGAGAGAGAGAGAGAGAGATAACTGCAAGGATCCAATTGGCAGTCCCAGCTAGCGCAGAACCCTGAACCGTGTTCACTTACTACTCAGCAATGGGTTCAGTTGGTCTACTCTATCTGGAGCAGGTAATTGGATTTGGGCCAATTAAACATGTAACCACTTGCTGCTCTTTCAAGACACTCAAGATCTGTTGGCTGAAGTGGCTGCCTCCCTCTGCCTAATAATTGGGCCGGTCCTGTGTCTGATACAGTGGACCCTTGACTTACAGACGGCTTGACTTACAGACTTTTTGAGTTACAGACTTCTCTGGCTGCAAAATTTAGATTTGACTTGTAGACTGAGATTTGACTTACAGACCAGAAAAAAACCAAAATGGAACAAAAACGGCCTGTTACGAGAGTAATCGGTTTTCAATGCACTGTAGCTCAATGGAGACTTGACCTACAGACTTTTTGACCTGCAACCACCGTTCCAATACGGATTAAGTCTGTAAGTCAAGGGTCCACTGTACTGCCTGGACTGTATTTTCCCTGCCTTCCCTGAACCTTTCTTGACCTAAGAAAAAAAGAAACAAAATATCCCCCTCTAGTGGTTGAAGGAGGAATAGCAGCTTCCCATTAATTTCTATGAACGGAAAAGAGCAGATAACAGATCAAATGGTTTTCAATGCATTCCTATGGGAAATGCACATTTGACTTGAGAACTTTTTGACTTGAGAACTGCCTTCCAATACAGATTAAGTTCTCAAGTCAAGACCCCACTGTAGTAGGCCCTCACCCTTCCTCCTCCCTCCCTCTCCCTTACCTCTCGCCTAAATAGACCACACAACATGAACAATGTAATATAACATAAATAAGACTGACTTGCTAAGATAACCTTGGCAGCTGTAAAGAAGTGAATGATGCTTAGGTAAACAAACAAACAACATAACAATGAAAACAAAGTCCTGTCACCTCAGTGCACATAAGACTTCAAAGGCCCAGTGAGCAGTGGACAGTGCAGGACCCCCCCCACAAAAAACACACCTCTTCATGTGGGCCCCTACAGATAGCAGGCCCTGGGTGAATGCCCACTTTGCCCTCTGAATAAAGCAGCCCTGCCCCTCCAGTGAGTTACCATGGCCAATCAGGATTTCGAACCCAAGTCTCCTGAATCCTGATCTGACACTCTCTTCATTACACTGCACTGGCTCTGTAGTATATCTGGAACTCAGGGGTAAATCACTTGCCAGCATGTATGCATACATGCATACATTTATTTATAAGATTTTTACCCCACCTTTCTTCTTTTAAAAAAAGGGACCCAAGGTGGCTTACACCATTACAAACACAATATTAAAAGCTACTACAAAGAGTAAACAGGGACAGGGACTTGTGACTCAAGAGGAGCAGTTGAGTCTGACTCAATTCTCACTGGCGATTCGACTCACACTTGACTTGGGGGTTTGGGTGGGGACTCAGGACTTAGCTTGCGACTTGGACTCCTTTGTCCCCTGATGATTTTAACACTCGCGCAGATGCACCAAGGGAGGCGAAGTCCTTGAGACAGCCTGGAGGCCAAGCCATTTAGGGCTTCATATGTTGGAACCAGCACTTCGAGTTGTGCCTAGAAATCAGGTGGTGGCCATAAGATCCAAAGAGATCTTATTTCTAGCACCAAGAGTGTGTGATGAATCATTTGTTAAACCCCACCCAACAGACTAACTCTACAACTTACACAGTTGTTAACCAGGAAGGATTTATTTTCTTAACGTATCTTCAGAACGATAACATTCCAGAGGGCAGGGAAGCTTTTATGAGCTAAGAATACACAGAAAGGAAGACCTATAGGATGCATCATTTCCCTCATAAAACAGCCACTGTGTGATTGTCCTTTTTCTCTGGAAGAGTGTGTCACTCCCTCTAGTACATTGCAGATAAAAATAAGAGATTTGGAACATCCCTGCTCCCATGTTATGTCTCCTATTGATGCACATTGCTAAAGGCTCTCTGGGATTCATTTGCCCTGTCACAAAACATCTGCAGGGCAAGACGCTGGAGAGGACTGATGGAGGGAGTCTGGAGGAGTGTTTCCCTGGAGGATGCATCATTGTTATCAGCAGCAGCAGCAATGACAATAGCGGAAGCTGTTTTCCAAAGATTAACAGCATTCAGACATTAGGCTAAGGTCCCTCTGTAAAACAGAGGCACCCGGCCATTCACGTCTTGTATCTTAACTTCTACCCCATGTAAATACTCGTACAACAGGTAAACTCCACTCTTGGATTCCTTAAAGAGAAAAAAGAAAACCAAGCTCTACGTAGGTAGAACTAAGCTGTCAAGCACAGACAGGCTTGGCTTCCTTCCCCCAAGATATGGATTAATTAGGCTATATTCGCAAAGATAATGATACTGACATTTGGGTGCAATGTCATTATCTTTGGCTAGTGGGGGTATGTGGTAGAGTTTACTTGGAGTGGACATTCAGGACACAAAAAGGGCACATCGATATGCTCATATTTTGAGTGAGGAGAAGATTGATTTGGAGTTTGAATTTGCTCAAGTGAGGGAAAGATTACAGTTTCAAACCTAACTATTTTCTTGAAAGCAATTTCCGCCCCCCGCCCCCAGGAATGTCCCCTGCTTTTTAAAAGATAGGAACAACTGAACAACTTTCATAAACAATTTAAAGTAAAAGTTTCTAAAGACACTGTATAAATAAAACAATCAACAGCAACTATGTACCTTTGACTCACCAGAGTCTCACAAACAGTTGGATTTCTGAGGAAACCACACACACACACATTCACAAAAGAGAATGAGTTGCTCTCAAAGGCTAGGTCTTAAATAAGGCAGGTGCTGACCATTGACAGGGGTGGCTCACAAATCAGAGCCCTGTGGTGGAGTGGTTCACTTGCAGTACTGCGGTCGCATCCTACTCATGACCGGAGTTCGATCCTGACAAGGTTGACTCAGCCTTCCATCCTTCCAAGGTCAGTAGAATGGGTACCCAGTTCACTGGGGGTGGGTGGGGAGTCTTGTTTGCATAATTGCATTGTAAATGGCCCAGAGAGTACTCTAGCACTATGGGGCAGTATATAAGTCAAAGCAACAACAACAACAACAACAAAAAATCTGCCCTTCATAAGGGAAATTCATTGCAGGGCAGAGCGTGGAAGTTACTAATAATACATAACTAGTTAAATATGGGTAAAGAGTAACAGCTGCTACTTACAAGCTTAGTTTTTAGATGCAAACATTGAGACCAAAGTTACTCATCTGTAATAACAGTTGCTTTCAAAAATATTTTTACAGAGCATTTTACGGCATTTTAGAGACACTTTGGCAGGAATTTTCTGGGTGTTATGCCATTCCCTTATCAACCTGAAGTGGCAAAAGAAGTGTTGCTTGGTTTCATCTTCTACGTTTTCATTAATCAATGCTTTCAAAATACAGTATAGTGTCAATGTTGGCCAGTAGATGGGCCTGGTGAGTATTTTTCCTATTAATGCAATATGTAAGAAGCAACACAAAAAAAGGAATGAAAATGAGGAGACCAGCCTGACTGACAAAATGGATTCATTTTAAAATGTGAGTTTTAAGGGCCAGACGTGCCATAAGCTAGATCTTCTTAGGGGGTGAAGTGCAAGTTAGAAAACCACTATTTTCATGCTATAATTGCCACTGTATTTTGTCCACTTGGATAAAAGGCAATTCAAGCTTTCACAAGGTGGCATGGTTAAGAGGTAGAACGGCAGCATCAGGGAATAATAGTCATAATAACAAGGTTGTCATAAAGACCAAACCAAAAGCTGCCGTCTCCACCATTGGGTAGCATGGAAACCTCTCAGCAACCATAACTATATAGTGGCTAGAACCGCAGGATAATAAAACACCTCAGCAAGGCAAAATGAGATCAAAACAGAAATGGTGATTTACCAGAGACCTAAAGCAGGGAGAGAGAGAGAGAGAGAGAGAGAGAGAGAGAGAGAGAGAGAGAGAGAGACACACACACACACACACACACACACCCATTAAGTAAAGGCAGCTGGAGCAGGACATAAGAAAAAATGGTTGCATTCATGGACTGAGATCCAGGTTTACCTATAATTCAAGTAGACCCAATGGAATGAAAATAATTTAGATAGGGCACGACTCATTTATTTCCACAAGTCTCCCCTCAGGGCAAGCCTGTATCCAACCCATGGCTTGGAAAACAGACTGACTCAATGATCTGAAGCCTTAATGTAAAGGCTAGCCCCTACCTACTCCAACCCACTGAATCCAAAGGGGGCCAGGCAAGGCAGCACATAGGTATGTTTCCCTGACTGATTGTGTCTACACTTGTTGGATGTTGGCCATGGTTTCCAAGAAGTCGGCTGCACTGAACAATTTTCAGAAGAGGGTTGGACCTTAAGCCTCTTTCAACTAAGGCGATGCTGACCCCTTCCCACTGTCCGTTTGGTTGGGACATACAACACGTCCTGCTGAAATGCCATCTAGTTATTACCCTGTTTCCTACCACCAGCCCACCAGGCATCCATGAGAAGTTCCCCCAAGTGGCATGTAAGAAGAACAGAACTCTCTTATTCTCTTCCCCTACAACTAGGTACCTGAGGCAACCTATCTCTGATTCTAGAGGTAGTATGATAGTCTTAATCCCTGTTAATTTCTCTAATTCCCTTTTAGATTCACCAAGGATCAAACTGCATTTTAAGAAAAACAATTATTTCTCAGTATTATAACAAGTCCTTGCAAGTGCCATGCCCGAGTGATCAAAACTGCAGAGAAAGCCTGTGTTTATCTCCCAAAAGAAAAGTAATCTGCAACAGGTGAAGTAAGAAAAACATGTGCTAAAATAAACATAGTATCTTTTATTTCAATCCTTTGATTTGAGTTGAAATCTGAGTTCATCACACCATTCTATGATGTTGACAAGGTACTGTGTGAAAAAGTATTTCCTTAGTGAAAATTTTCAACTTAAATCAGAGACCAAAAGCGTATTTGTGCTCTAGCCTACCTCCATATCTATTAAATCCACTTATTTTTCCCTCATTCCGCATGATGAAAAGATCTGAGATTTAGTAGAGATCAGATTATTTCAACCAGGATAGCCATGTTAAAAAGCAACCTAACTATAACTCTCCCTGGATACATGATATAGTAGAATGTTTTACTTTGGTCTGCCAAAGGAACAGAGGAATGAACATTCCTTAGAACAAAACGGTGACTGAAGTATTTGTTTCTCATGGTTATTCATTAATATTTCCAATGAAACACTAATTCTTTCCATGTTTCCACTTGCATCAACGTTCAAAATGCAGATGTGTAAGCATGTGTGCTATGCCACTGTACTCTGTGTTAGGACACAATAGACAGGAGAGAAGAAGTTGCAAAAGAACATCGCTTTCCCTGCCCCGCGTTCAGTCAGATCTGGAGCTCAGCACTCCAAAAGGTGTGTAAGAGCTAAATGATTATAGGTGGGTTTTGCTGAACAGCCTACGAATGCATTTTCCACATTGTTCTGCCTTTTTTTTAAATTATGATTTGAAGGAACAGGGAAGTTACTGTAAGTCTCCTCATTTCATGCTTTGTTACTTGAGAGCATGTGTCTGAACAGTTCCAAGCCGCCTTATTTGGAAATAAGTCCCACTAAATTCACAGTTGGAGGACCCTTGACCTTTACCATACAGAATGGATGAGCATGGTGTTATGTGCCATCAGATCGGTTCTGACTTATGGTGACCCTAGTAGCGTTTCCAAGGCACATGAAATATTTAAGGAGTGGTCTTCCCATTGCCACCTCCCAGAGAGCTTCCAGGACAGGGTGGGGATTCGAATCCAGGTCTCCTCAGTTTGTCACCCCATTCATTATACCACCCTGGTTCTCCAGTCTATCTAGAGGGTGACCAAATGTACAGGACAATTTAAACACTCACGAATAAGAAGTTGACACCGCTAGTTAGTTGTAGAGTATTGAGAGAAGCTGTGTCAGCTTCTTAATCTGCAAGTGTTTAAATAGGATTTTCCACACCAGCTTCCCCCAGTCTATTGTGGAAGGGCCTTCTATGGGGTTCCATCAGGCTTTCATTGAACAATTGCCCTACCCCGTTCATAGAATTTTATGCGGTGAGGGGGCTCAGCATTTTCAACTTCAATGTGCGGCCTTTTAGGGGTCCCCCCATGTCTGCTCCTTCTGTTTCTTTCCTTATGGCCAAAAATCTATTGAAGAGGGAAATGTAAGATGGAGCAACAATGTCTTCTGATGGCTAGCAGTAGCATCTGTCTATCTGGGAGCCCATTGCTAGGTCCAGAATTTGGAATATGTGAAGTGGGTCTTGTTTTCCCCAATCTACTGAACAACCTATTACAGTATTTGTATTGAAAAATGTTGTGTTTCTTAATCCCAGTGTCTGAAAGGGTCCCTGTTGGGATGATAATTTCCTGAATCCCTCAGTCAAAGCCATTGGATTCTGGGGGTTCAGCCCCCACCCCCATCACTTCTCTAAATAACCTATTCCACCTCCTCATCTCCTCCTGCCAAATTCATGTAACAGGAAAGGTCTGGTGTGGCCCCCAATATACAAAGGTGACTTTTGAGTGAGGCTGAGGGGCACCCCACCCTGAAATATTGGGGGTGAGGGATCCGCTAGATGCCACTGAGCTCCAAACATCTGAAGATACATTGCTGAAAAAAGAAAAAAAATCCTTATTCAGCATCATGTTTTCTTTGCAATAATCAATGTGTAAAATATAAAAACAAGTCAAGGCAAACAGCTGGCATGTACCTCGTATGATCAAAGATTCTTTCTCAGCCCGTCAGTTGTTTTCGAATCAAGTCAGCTCTTGTCCAAATCATTTGCAGTTGCAAAGTTTGCCAGGTGACTCCAAATTTAAACATGAGCTCTCTCAATCCAGCGTTCTTTAAAACAGGACGTAAAATTGCCAAACTCCTTGGGTCTGTTTTTCATCATTTTCACTCCCAACTTCCATGATTATTCTTTTTATTGAAAAAGAAATCAAGTAAGAAAGTCTTCTTTGCGACATAGCCAGTAATACATTCCACCCCACCACAGCCACTCGTATAATTAATGAATCTGATTAGATCTCAATGTACTGTATCTTCCGTTTCCTGACTGATAAGGCTTTGAAGCTGTTGACATGTTTGAGAATTTGTGCACACAATGGATCTTGCGTGAATATTAAAAAAATTCACACAGATCACAAATGGCATTCTCCCTTGTGTGTGCCAGCAGTTGGGAAAAGATGTTCATTTTAGGGTTGGTAAAACTTTAAGGAACATTTACTGTATAAAACATTGTGAAGAATAAACTAACGGTGCTTATAAGACTTTCATAATATATTCTTATCAGATATATTAACAGATAATGTATCAGACCAACAGAACAAGCAGGAGAAACAGACTAAATAGATCCTAACAGAATGAGCTGTTGTTTCTTTTTCTATCCTGTAGTTCACCCACTACAGCAGCAGACAGAATCTGATTGTGCCCCACCACACAAATAACACATTCTAATCATACCTAGAAACACGTCTGCACATACATACAAGCTGGGTTGCACAATTATATACTACAACAGAAGCATTGTGCCGATAGCTACGATGTTGTTGAACTGATAAAGATCAATGGTTTGTCTTCTAAGGAATGCTACCAGGTGACTTGTTCTAATTCGTTTTAATAGTAGCCTCCCACGAGGCTGAGCAGGAATCATCTATCACTGTGGAGAAGAAAGCTTTTTTTTTCTAGAGGTGATTATTCAGGGCCAAACTATTTCTGACACAGATCCTGTCCAGAGAAAAAGGAGTTCCTTAAGTGCTGAAATGGCTGATGGTCTCAGCAGGAATTTCTGCAGTCATCATAGACAAAGCCT